GCCCCAATCCCAACGACGTGGACAGCCGCCCCTCCCCCGAGGAGAATTCCCTTCAGAGGACAGCACAGAAGCTGCAGTACCTGGAGAGGGCTACAGCTGATCAGATCAAACCAAGGGACAGGAAGAGAGTGGAGCACATCCTGGCCCACCAGGCCTTCAGGACGATATGCCTGCTCAGAGCAGCCAGTCCACAGAGAGGACCATAAGGCCGGCCCCGCTGTGAAACACGACATCCCTCACTGACCCATAGCCCTACAGGGGGCAACACTGGAGGCACAGTGTGGGAATTGTGCCGATCTGATTCCACCACACTGAGGCAAAACACTGAGGGCGTGCAACAGACCAGCAAGGGGAACAGAACAACGAAGTCCCCAGAGAATACCGAAAACAGACTTTGGGGCCAGGGTTTGGCGCTCCATCAGACCAGACCAGAAAATACTCATAAAAGTCAACAAACAGACCTTGAACTATTTACAGGCTTTTTTCTCTTTTTGCCGGTGGTTTTTTGTTGTTTTTCTTTGTTGCTTGGTTTTGCTCTGCCTTGTTTTTGTGCATATTACGATCTCTGCAGGTCTGTCTAGATAAGATAGGCTGGGTGAACAATCCGGGCACAGGAAGGATGTCACCTTTCCTGCTGTCACCACCAATGGAGCTTTTCTCACAAGAGCTACAGATGGCTGCTGCTTCTCAGGCCAGCCAACAATTCATTCGTTTGTCTCCTCGCTCCTCTGATGTGCAGCTTCTTCTCCCGGTGCATGTCAATCCCCTCCTCCATCTTTCCAGGATGCTCATCCCTGCCGGTTTCACCGGGTCACATTTCAACACCTTTTACCCATTTTTAAAAAGTAAAATTTAGTGATGTAAAGGACATTCACAATGTAGTGCAACCATCGCCATTTTTTATTTCCAAATTGTTTTCATCTCCCCAAAGAGAACCTCTGAAACTATGAAGCAATAAATCCCAACCCCCTCCAGCTCTGTTACCCTTCTAATCTGCTTTTTGTTTCTATAGAATTAGTTATTCCTTGTATTTCAAATAAGTGAGACCATACGATATTTGCCTTTTTGTGCCGGTTTATCTCATGCAGTATAATGTTCTCAAGGTGCATAGTGTTGTGACTTCCTTCTTTCTTGTTGATGAATAATATTCTATTATATGGATACGCCACTTTTTTATCCATTCAACTGTTGAAGGACTGGAGTTATTTCCATCTTTCTACTACTGTGAATAATGCTACCAGGAATATCGGTATACAGCTTTCTAAGAAGCCCTGGAACTTTAACCCTAGCACTTTAGGATGAAAAATCTTGGCTGCTAACCAAAAAGTCAGTGCTTCATCGAAGGATAATGTGACATCTATTAAGATAGACAGTCTTGGAAGCCCTGTAGGTCCATGCTATGAGGCCCTATAGTGTTGATATGAGTTGTAATGAACTTGAAGGCCCTGGGCATAATACGGGGGCTCGGGGCCCAGAGTTCTGTTTGAGTCTTCGCTTTCCAATCCATTGGGTATGAACCCAGGAAAGGAATTACTGGGTCATTTGGGAATACTGGGTTAGATGTTTTGAGAACCACTCAAATTTGTGTTCCCTGATGGGTGTACCATCAGCAGTGGGCAAGGGTTCAATTTCTCCAAATATTATCCAACACTTGTGTCAGTGCCTGGAACAGTAACTCAAATTTTGTGTCCACATATGGATGGCGTCATAAGACTGAAGAAAGAAGCTCCAGGGTGGCAGCAAAAGAGCTACGTATGATGCTGGAGGCTTACATATGATGCAGCCCTGGACAGGACACACCAGGTCTGTCTCCCACAGTGGGAAGCAAGGATCTTTATTGGTTGTGTTGTGGTTAAGTGCTGTCCAGCCGGTTCTGATACCTCATGCCCCTGTGGACAGCTGAAACACCGCATGGCCCTGTGCCATCCTCAATCATTCCTCCGCCTGGGCCCATTGAGGCAGCTACTCTGTCAATCCATCTCATAACGGCTCTTCCTCTTTTTGCACTGCCCCTCTACTTGACCAAACATGATCCCCTTCTCCAGGGATTGGTCTTTCCTGACAGCATGTCCAGAGTATAAGAGACAGAGTCTCGCCATTCTTGCCTCTAAAAAGCATTCTGGCTGTACTTCTTCCAAGACAAATTTGTGTGTCCTTTCGGCAGCCCATGGTACATTCAAGATTCTTCTCCAACACTATACATCAAGTGCATCAGTTCTTCATTCTTCTTTTTTTTAAATTATTTTATTGAGGGCTCGTACAATTCTTATCACAGTCCATACATACATACATTGAGTCAAGCACATATGTACATTTGTTGCCCTCATCAATCTCAAAACATTTGCCCTCTACTTTAGCCCTTAATATCATTTGCTCATTTCCCCCCTCCCTTCCCCCTCCCCCCTCACTCATGAACCCTTCATAATTCATAAACTATTATAGTTTTGTCATAAGTTGCACTGTCCGATGTCTCCCTCTGCCCTCTTCTCTGCTGTCCCTCCCCTAGGGAGGAGGCTATACTTAGCTTCATGTAATTGGTTCCCCCTTTCTACCCCACATACCCTTCACCCTCCAGGCCTCGCCCCTCTCACCACTGGTCCTGAAGGAGTCATCTATCCTGGATTCCCAGTGTTTCAAGTTGCTATCTGTGCCAATGTACATCCTCCGGTCTAGCCAGATTTGCAAGTCAGAATTGGGATCATGATATTGGGGCGGAGGAAGCTTTTAAGAACTAGAGGAAAGTTATATGTTTCATCGTTGCTACCCTGCACCCTGACTAGCTCATCTCCTCCCCAAAACCCCTCAGCAGGAGGGTGTTCAGTTGCCAACCAATGGATTCTGAGTCTCCACTCTGCACTCACCCACCTTTACAATGACATGTTTTCTTGTTCCTTGATGCCTGACACCCGATCCCTTCGACAGCTCGTGGTCACACATGCTGGTGTGCTTCTTCCATGTGGGCTTTGTTGCTTCTGAACTAGTTGGCCGCTTGTTTATCTTTAAGCCTTTAAGACCCCAGACAGTATATCTTTTGATAGTCAGGCACCATCAGCTTTCTTCACCACCTTTGCTTATGCACACCTTTGTCTTTAGTGATTGTATCAGGAAGGTGGGCACCCACTGATCTGATTTTTAGTTCTTTGATGTCTGATAACTGGTCCCTTCTGCACCTCATGGTCAGACAGGCTGGTGTGCTTCCGCCATGTGGGCTTTGTCTTCATTCTTCTATATTCAATATCCAACTTTCACCCGCAGATGAGGCGATTGAAAATGCCATGGCATGGCCAGAAGCACCTCAGTCATTAGAGTGACCTCCGTGCAACACAACACTTTAAAGAGGTCTGTGCAACAGATTTACCCAATCCAATGTGTCATATGATCTCTTGACCACTGCTTCCAAAAGCATCGATTGTGGATCCAAACAAAATGAAATCCATGACAACGTTGATCTTTTCTCCTCCATTTTTCATGAACTTACCCACTGAGCCAGTTGTGAGGATTTTGGTTTTCTTCATATTGAATTTTAATCCACATTG